GTAGGAGAGGCGTTCTCATTCTCTTTTGCTACATATTTCATTTCAAGGGTTGAAAAATCAGAAATGTCTAGTGGGTTACTATCTGGACAGCTTCCCCTAGAGGATAAATTCTACAAAGCTTGAGAATCAGCTCATCTTGCTCAGTTCCCTGACTCTTTTCCTCTCTGCCATCCCAGCTGCCTAACTGCTTTGTCACCTGGCCACCTCCATGAAACAGGGTCAGTGAGTTGACTGAGGGCAAGATTACAGAAGTAGAAGTTCAGACGTGGATAGGCAGTATGGCACTAATGCCCTGCTGTACAAATAGAACGCATAACCACTTGCCCTTCAAGGCTTTTCAAGGGATCATGAAGAAACGTCCACTCTGATTCCAAGTGAACAGTGGTGTCTTAAGATGCTTAAAAGGCATTGGGCAACCTAAGCTGGGCTTCCCTCCACGTGGGGTTAAAGCCATTTTTCTGGTTTAACTTATTTCATTTTCTTAAGGGCTTGACTTCATTGCAAGGCCAGCTTCAGTGGAATTAGGCAGAGATAGCAATTTACCTTGTGTTGTGCTTTGAATGCACATACCTGTGTGTTTATGTGCATGTCCACAGATGTACATGTTTGACTATAACCAATAGGAAGTAAAGTTTAGACGTGAAGTGAGTCATCGGCAAAAAGGTGAATGAATAGTCAAGTGTCTTGGACGGCTTTTGATGAGGCCCTACTGCAGTAGATTTCATGTTCAATTAACGCAATTAATGTTTAAAGCGAATCCTTTATCTGAATATAAAAAGACTACTTTATTGAAGTTGATTCTGAGCCTGCAGTACATACATACTTTAAAGTCTGGGTTTGTGATCATGTTTGACTGGAGTGTGGTTAGACAACAAAGGAATTTTGTTGTCTAACTTAGTTGGATGACATCAATTAGAATTGCAAAGTCTATAGTGAATATAGCATGATTATTGTGAAAACCAGAACAGGAAAACTCAGGTTTTTTTTTAAGGTACATGTATGCTATTTGCCCTGGGAACAACTTCTACAAATAAAATTTTAAGCATTTGAGACATTTTATCGTTCGAAGAAAAGCTGCTGACTTCATCAGAAGTATAAGCCTAGTAAAAATGGAGCCTGGAACAGTAAACTAGTCCAGAGCTGAGGCAGAAGCAGGTGACCTCTAACCTCTGACTTTTACTGGGAGATGATATGCAGCATAAATCCAAGGGGCCTTTTTCCTTTCAAGAGTGTATGTATATGTTATGGCATTGCTGTTCACAGCGCTGTAGTGAAGTTGGTATCAGCACTTTCAATAGAAAGCGCGACTACTTACACTATGCGTTTTCAAAGAGGCGTAAATGGAATCTAAATTCTTTTTCCCATATCCCAGAATTGCTACATGGGGTCATAGCCTAGCATTTTGTTTGTTTCTTTTTCATTTCTTGGTTTTTAAAACATATATCATCTAAGAAAGGCAGGAAACTGAGCTGCCGCATAAAGGCTTAAGGACTGCTGAAATGCACTTGAATTTAAGACTATAATGTGTAAGTCTTCTCAGGCACACTCAGATAAGAGTTTTCAGAGGCTACATGCCCAGTGTCAGTTCTTCTCCTCTGATGGGCCATGAGAAAGAAAAAATCTGGTGTTTCTGTTAACTTCAACAAGTGATCTTCAAAGGCCTATTTAATAATGAATTTGATTTTAACCAGGAAGCATATACTTTTCACATTACTAGTTTGGTATTTCAAATGCTTCTTTTTATATTCTTTCTCATTATGTTTTAAATTTATTTTTAAATTATCTCACTCGAATGACCTCCGTTGAACCATTTGAAAACAATCCCGGTGGCAGATGAAGCCGCTGTAGCCCCATTTCACAGATGTGGAAAATAAGATATGGTTAGGCTTTGTGACAAATTGAGGTCCCAGTACAGCACCGGACCTAAAATCCCAGTGTCCTGATGATATACACAAAACTCTTCTGATCATGTCCTCTTCCTCAGGTCTCGAAGAACGAAAGTCAGTTTTTGCCCATGAGATCAAATAGCAAGCCGAGTGTGGTGGCACACACCTGTAATCCCAGCACTTGGGAGGCTGAGGCAGGAGGATCCTTATGAGTTTGAGATCAGCCTGAGCTACAAAGTGAGCTCAAGGTCAGCCTGAACTGCATAGTGAGACCCTGCCTCAAAAAGACAAAAAAAAAAAAAAAAAAAAAAAAAAAAAAAAAAAAAAAAAAAAAAAAAGATCAAATAGCAGCTGTCTGTGCTGCTGTCCCCTCCCTGCCCTCTACCTGCTGGACAACAGGGGTGCTGGGAGCCACACCTTCAGCCTCCCTTGCTCTGCCTTTGTGGGCTTTCTTTGGCAATGAGATTTATTCCTGCTAAACGCAGAATGATGCCTGCAAGTGTTGCTGCAACAATTTATGCCCATTTCCATGCTGAACACGAGCCTTCTAAACCTCATTTTTCATCCCTGAGACCTGTGGAGCTGAGTCTTTGTGCAGCCTTCAGATTAGCTGTGCACAGTGGCTTTTCCGTGTGTTCCCTGCCTGCCTTTTCTGGCAGGCCTGGACGTGTAAACAGTGCCAGCATTTGGCCCGTAGTACATGTCCTAAATAGTTATTTACACAGTTTGAGTCCATTTTAGTCAACTGGGTAAATAACAGCCCTCTTCAAAAGATTTATAAATCCATAAATATGTCTTTATACATACCCAATAGACAGAAGTAACTCAGTCTGTCAAGAACATATCCAAAGAGGTGTTTCCCCCACAGACAGGAGTAATACATATTTTAAAACTTTCTCTACTGTATTATTTGTACTGCATTTCTTTTTCAGTCATTTCTTTTCAATTTTCACCACTTCATTATGGCACTTGTGGTACAGAAAAAGTAAAGCAAAGGAACAAAAGAAAGAAATCCTGTAGGCTTTGGCCTTGTGTTAAATAGCCTATCAGCCACACGATGTAGACATATGTCAGGCTGTATATATCTCAACTGAATCCTAATCTTTTGAACTCTCAAAGTAAATAAAATAAGTTACCTGGGAAAATTTTAATCTTCTGATGGACTTCAGCCAGTAGTAGTTCCTGGTTAAACTTCTAGTGAATTTGGGAATTTGGAGTACCTGATAATTTTCCAAATCAGTGGCTGTTGCAATTGGTGAAATAGCTATAGGACAAATTTTTAAATGAGCATAAAAAGGAAATAAAAATTCAATTATGAGCATGCTAAAGAGAATGTCCATAAGATATGTAATTAAGAAAACACCAAAGTTATTATTATTCAGGGACTTAATGTTTATTCATGATTTACATAATATATCTTTCCAACAGCTAAAATTATTCATCATGGCAACTCTTCCTATGTCATCTGCTTTCATTTTATATTAACACTTGTGGCACCTTGCAGGAAATTGATTCTTTAATAGTGAAGCCCCTTTACATTGGCATTTAAAAGGGAAGCTTCACATCTATATTTGGTTGGGGATTCTGCTGTGTTTTCACAACATTGATTTTGTCTACTGTTTTAACTTCCTCAAAGCATTTCCAAAGATATTAGATTAAATCCTTGTTTTCTTCCTGTCAGTTATTTGCTGCTTTCCCATTATGCAGGAGAAAAGCAAGCAGTTCAGAAATACTGGAGAGTAGCTGTCAGAGTGGGCCCTGGGATTTTGGTTCCTGGGCTTTGGAACTGCTTTGGGAGAGGGGTCTTAGGGCTCACAAGTAATGTCTGATAATATGAGGTGCACTCTGGCGAAGTGCGTCCTGGCTTTTTATCCTGCTGTGTGTGTTTAGAGCAGGTGAACATCAAGCAAGCCTGGTGTCTCTTTCCTCCAGATTCCCACTCCTTCTCAGAAACTGCTGCAGCCACTCTGTGCTTTGCAAGCACTTTGGCTACAGTTTGAGTTTGGGCACATTTCTGCTTTTGATCCAAAGTCTAGAGAGTGAATAGATGATAATAATAAAATATTAAAATAGGACATTAAGCGCTGTCAGTCAGTGTGGCTATTTTCATCCTCTCGGTCTGTGAACCAAGGTTATGGAGGATCAGAGAGACTGGAAGACTTGCCCAAGGCCACCTTCTGGTTGGTGGTCCAGTGGAGACTTGGAACTCTGGGGTCTAACTCCAGAACCCAAGCTCCTAGGGCCCACCATCCCTTGTGATGTCATTCTTTGGTATGGCTTAGGAATATAGAGCCAGACTACCTGTCAGACGCTTTATCTGTTATGAGTTTGATCACCGTTTTCCCAGTTAGATGTCTGTCCTAGGCCCAGTGCTGTGCTTTGTCCCAAACACATGGCCTTGAATAAGATCGAGCCAGCTGAGACTCAGGAGGGTTAGACTTTGCTGGGGGAGTGAGAACCTAGTATTGTGTGCTACGTAGAATGGTGATTAAGCTATTTACAAAAGGAGCATGATGACTGATATGATTAATTTGTATTATGTATTAAGAGCCTATATCATTTCAGTCAGTCAAAGAGTTATTGAATTGAGAATAAGAGGATAGGAAACAAGCGAGGATATTTCTCTTGTGAAACATTTCCCACTTAAAGCTCATCTTATTTTCCCCTTTTGTGAGGATAAAGAAAAAGTCTGATTTCAACATTGGAATTTGGTGTGCAACATTTTAACCCTAAAGGTGGCTGCTGGTACCTCTAAAACCCACTGACCTGCTCTTCTTAGGGGCAGGACTCATACCCACAATAGTACTACTGGGGGAGGAAAAAAAAGCAAACCCAGCATGTTTCTTTAAAGAAGAATAATTGAAAAGCACTGCTATTTCCTTATAATAATGTATCAATAGTTGCAAAGCCGCCCACTGCCCCACCCCCTCCACGCCAGCTTTTGTATGAGTCCAGGCAACCTATAGGCAGAAGGCAATTCCATGCGTTACTGAGGGGAATCTCCGGGCAGTTGTTCCAGACCTGTGAAGCTGGCAGGCAGCGCTGCCCGAGAGGGGGTGGGGAGCGCCCAGGGAGGGGAGGTGGGGAAGGGCCACATTGTGTTCCAGATGACTG